CGTCTTCTCAATGTATGTCCAATCCAATTTAATCCAATCCGTCTCAACTTTCTTCTGGATAATTGTTAGGTGACTGGTTGTTGGTTAGTTCGTTGTCAGCCAGCCAGCCAACCAGAGTTCTTTGCCGCTTATTCTTGTTATTCTGGTCATTTGATCTTCACTGTCAGTATCGAGTGAGCGTAGGCAGCAGCTGTTCATCTGATGTATGTCTCCAGTTTGTGGGAAATATATGTCCTAACGCACCGCCAAGTCTCTCAACCATCACATAGAAGCACTGACTTGAGTGTGACTGAGATTAGTGTTGACAATCCAGATGTTGTTCACGCTTTATGCTGATTATAGTGCAGTGTAGTGCAGCGCGGTGCAGTGGAGTAGACTTCCACACTGATTTCAGGTTAATGAAGGTCTTTCCTGTTGTCTTTCCTATCGTGTCTTTGACATCCTCATTTGTGCCTGTGCTGCCTGTAGTTGAAAGGATGCTGCGTTGCCTAGGTGGTAGGTGGAATAGACAACTTTGCTTACATTTCTTCCGTTCATAGCGATTGGTGCTTTTTGTTGTTGGTGGTGGTGGTTGTTGATATGTTTATCACCTCTGTCTTCTCTAGGTTCACCTGAAGGAATTCCTGTCTTCCTTCGCTGCCTCACCTTGTCTGCCATACTAGGACGAAACAGCTGTCCAGTGCTCCCAGGTTTCCTTTGCTCCTCCATCTGATGTCAGTCTACGATGAATAATAACTTGAAGTTCATTTTTCTCGAACTAATAAAATGGACACACATTTTTGATGTGTTGAAGCGTAAAGTCACTCGGTATAGTTTTCTCTTGTGTAGTCCTTAATTCTCATTTGCAAACGACTTAACTATGAATGATTTATTTTTCACTTAGAAAAGTCATACCACCAGCCTCAGAGAAGTATCTACTATTTTTCACGGCCGACGTTTTTAAACCCTACTTCCCATAAGGAAGTCATCATCGGCATACCACTGTTGGTCATCTGTAAAAACCACTTTAATTCTGTCACGCTTCCACCCAGCCAGCATGACGTGGCTGCCTTTCATCTAACCACTATACAACAAACCTTTCAGTCACTTCAGGACGTCAAGGAATAAGCTTTTCGGCCAGTGTACTGTAATGCATGATTACAATGTTCAAGTCTGGCCACCACGTTAAAGTAACAGCTTCCAGTCACGTTTATGGAATTGAAATCGCTGTATGAAGCCAGTTTATTACAACAATATCTGATAATTCATCTCATAATTGTATCGAATCCGCTTAACTTCCGATCATATCAGTAACACTGGTTTCATATATCGATATTATGAATTAGTCTTACTTCTCAGGTTTCAGTTTGCATAAGTTGGAGCTAATAAATATCAGGCTAGTAAGTACATCACCTTAAGATGACGCTTAAACTGACCTCAGATAGTCTGTATAATGGATATGAATTGCATAGGGCAATAAACACAATCCAATCTTCTATAGCCTAAACTACACTTACACATCACTATACAAAAGTTTAATTTCTTGTATTATATTTGTTTACAAATCTACAAACATTGTTGTGTATTTATTGTAACTAGTGTAAATACCTCATTTGTGTACTATACTTAATTGTGTATTTATATGCAAACATAACACAAAAAAAATTACACAACATTGTCACCAACACCATTATCATTATTATCACCTGAGGTCAAATAATATAGATGCAAAAATATATAATTATGCTATTGATCATCAAATTTGACTGTCATTTACACAAGCAAGAAAGTTGTGAATATAAAGATATCCCTATTTTGTTTAAATAGGCATTAAAAAGACCATTGAACATTTAATATACGATGATATATAGTAACGATGAGATATTGATACGATTTAGTCTAGCCTGTAGGTAGATGCGTTGTTGCAGAGGGAAGTGTTATGCTAATATCTATCACTGAAAGGCGTGCCAAGTAAGTACATCACCTTATTGAAGGCTAGCCACTCGAACACTTGTGGGCGTGTTACAGCCGATGGTGAGATGTCAGGTGAACTGTACTCATTGAGTGGTGTCCGTCAAGGCTGTCAACTCTCTCCACTCCTATTCAGTTTTATCATCGGCATTCTTATGGAGGTATCCCTCTCCTCACCTGATTACACAGACGTCCACCTAATCACTGGAGAATTTTCATTATATCTACAATACGCAGATGACATAGTCCTGTTCGATGAAGACGCTGACAAGATGCAGAGTCTTGTGAACACTGGGGTGCGTTTCTCAACACCCAAATGCAAATTGTTGCTCCACGATTGGTCTTCAACAGTGCATCGGTTAAGAGTAGAGAGTGTAGTGGTTGAGTGTATCGACCAGTTCACTTGAGATCAGCCCTGGTGACTGGCTCACTGGGCGATGAAATCTCTTCTCGAATGCAAGGGGCTTGACTGGATTTTGACAACTTACACCACCTGTGTCGCTGGCGTGATATCGCATTGTCTACTAGGGGTCGCGTGTACTGCACACCAGTCAGGTCTGTTCTACTGTGTATGACTGTGGAACCTGGCCATTGAAGGTGGATGACATGAGAAGGCTGACTGACTGGCTTCAGGTGTTTGACCACTGTTGCCTTGGTAGTATATGCCGTATTGTGTGGTGTCAGCATATGAGTAACGCAGAAGTGAGGTGTAGAGTTTTAGGTGGAAGAGTTGGGTGGGTTGAGGAAGTTGTGAACCTTCATCGATTGAGATGGTTGGGACACGTATTACGTATACCTAGTCGGCGATCGGCTCGTCACACAATGTTGACTGAAGTAGGTTGAGGCTGAAGAAAGGGTCTGGGTGGCCGAAATGAAACATGACATTAATGTATGAAGTCTTTGAGTGTTGATTTGAGTCATGTGAGGCGATGTAGACTAGTCGTTTGGGGTTGGTGGGACAAGAGGAAGCAGTTGTTGTAGACTCTATTTGATCACATGACTCAGAACCGATGTCATTGGCGCAGATGTCTACACACACAACGAAGCAAGAACGCATCGCTGAACAAATATACCGAAGAAAATGAAGATGGATTGGGCATACACTGAGACTTCATGCTCCAGGCCAGGGCATCGAGTGGAACCCAGATGGAAATCGACGAGTTGGGCGTCCGAGGTGAGGGTGACATGGAGGAGATCGTGTGACTAAGAAATGAGAGCTTGTGGGCTATCGTGGAGCCAATTTCAACAAATTTCGGAGATGAGAGTGCACTGAAGGCCTATGTTCCATTAGAAACCCAAGGGACAAATAAATTAATAATAAATGTAGACTATTTTTATTCTTTTCCACATCAAAGTTTTCCATAACTTTCTTTGAAGGCATAAAATTTCAGAAAGAATATCTCTCTATAAATCAGTGAGAAAATGATAATTGAGTGATTAATTCCACTGTCCACATACTGTTACCTATCGATAGAAAAAAGAAGAAGAAGAAGAAGAAGAAGATATATCACATCAAATGTTTCATAGTTTTCTTTCTCTTTCTCTTCTTCATGAAATGAAGTTATTTCATTTTAGATTTTATCAAAATTATTTTCTTTCACCAAAGATGAAAAAGGTAACAGTAAAAGTTAACTAGTTCAATGTTCAATGATAAAATAGAGTTGAACTAGAAATTAAAACAAAAAATATTACTTCATATGATGTGGTTATAATATTATCAAAAAAAAACAAAACAGAATTGTCCATTTTATTTCTATATTCATCTATTATTGAGATAATTAATATCTTGTAGTGAATCCAATAACGATAAAAAAAAGTAGTTGTGTAATAAACTAAGACAGTAGAAATATCGAAGAAGGCGAGGAATTTGACAAGATGAAAATTGTTTGTAGATAAGAAATGCAAATATTGATTGTCCACTTGATAGATAAAGATAGATGGATGTAAAAAAGGTGAAGAATGAGACAAGGGTAATAATGAATATGATAATAATAAACTAATTAATTATAATGAAATCCAAAAAAAGGATAATGAAAGTGTTAAGACTATGGTAAGATGAGAGATTGAATATACTTCTTTAACACTCAGAGATCAGGCTTGAATTGATGAATTGTCAGTGCCTCCGTTGTGCACAACTCTCGAAGGTGTACTCGTTTTGATCTATTCCATCTGAAGGAAGATTCTGGTCTAGGTTTATGTTTAGAGTTGACAAAAATGTTCAACAATTCAACTATTAATTGATTTATATTCTCCCCCTTTGACAAGCATACAGGTTAATGTTCAAAGATATTTTTGGAAAGTGTGCGTTTTGTACAGCCTTCGTGGATATTTCTACTGTCTTAGTTTATTACACAATTAATTTACATTGTTGATATTTATATAATATATGAGATAGATTAAGGCAATACAGTGAAATAATTGAAACATTGAACATAGTAATGTATTGGTTGAAGTTAAAAGTTATCCCTAAGTGTATTATTCTCTACTAATGTTAAAATACATTTTTTTTTTTAATTGTTTCTATAAATGTATATTTTAAACTGAAAACTATAATTATCAATCCTTTTTTGATATAATTTAATGGTTGAATGATTTATGAGAATCATTCTTTATAAAATGAATGTACTTACATAACAACTAGGATCAGGGGGAAATAGAAAGATTACATTACATATGAATAGATGGTATCAAAATATGATTTTATAATAAAGGGTATTTTACAAACTATACAAATACATAAATAAATAAAATATGCATACTGAGCATATAAAAAAAGTAGGTAGGCGAATTATACACACAAAATACACATAAAAATCACAATAATACCTGAGGATAACTTTTAACCTCACCTTTTAATTCTAAGGATATATAGGATACTTGAAAAAAGAAAGTGATATGCACAATAGAAAAAAGAAAACAAAAAAACATCACAGAATCAAGAATGTTGTCTTCTTTATGTTGACTAGTTACAATTTCTTGCTGAAAATTATGAAAAAATTTTGAATTTCAATACACATATATTTTTTATTGCCTACAAGAGTATGATGATGTTAACAAAGTCCTAGAATATTGTCAAGATCGTCTAAATTCACTTCATGATCAATCCAACGTTGTTGTTGTTGTTGTGTCTGTTGTATATATTCTTCATCAGGATAATGAAGCTGTTCATCAATTACACCACTATGATATTGACTATATGATAGATTTCCAGTAAGAGTTATCGGTAAATTATTATTATTATTATTATTATCAAAAAATGCATAATTATTTACAGAAGTTGGAAGTTTTAATGAAACGCTTAATTCATTAGTTTCATCACCTATCACACTTGAAGATGGTGTTGACGATGACTGATTTGGTAATACTGATGATGATGATGATGAGCAGGAGGAGGAGGAGCAGGAGGATAACTTTACTCGTGGTGACAAAGACTCACAGAATACTATATCATCAGTTATTGATGAAGAAGATGTTATCAATCGAGTAGTAACTGATTTACACTTTTCTCTATTCTCATCATCTATATTTCTTTCATTCTCTTTTATTCTCTCTTCACATAATGTTCCATTAATAAAATTAGTCATTGATTCAGTTAGATTATTTGACCACCATTCACATGATAAGTGTAAGTCAACTTCATGTGTAGTTAGATCAAGTGGATCATTTTCTAAATCTAACGGTGGTATATTATTTAAACCACTCGCTTTTGATAATTCTGCAACAATTCCACTATCTAAATCATTAGAATTCGAAGAAGAAGACGACGACGACGACGAAGACGACGACGAGAGAAAATTATTGATTGAATTATTTATAGTACAAGTATTATCAATCATATTAATTTCATCATCTAATATCTTTTGTTTTTCTGGCTTATCATCAATCTCTTCACAGAATAATCTGTTCAAATCACATGTCTCCTTTTCAATGAATTTTCCATATGGATAAGAATAATCATTATCATAAGAAATATGCAATGAATTACTCTTTAACAAATCATTATCATTTATTTCTATATCAATCTCATTAGTTTCAATAGAATTTATAACACTATTCAAGTAATGCTCATTATTTAAAAATAATTCTGTTGAAATATTTTCAGGTAATAATTCTGATGGTACTGGTGTATTACTTGTTGAATAGTAGTCAGATAATGCTGGTGATGAACTAGAATTCGACTGTGATCTCATATCATTATACAAATTATTTATTGATTGTATTGTTGGATTTTTATTTCTACAAACATCTTGATAACGATTGGAACGTTTACGTTTCACTGATCGACTGGAATTTTTATTTACATCCTTTAAAAATTTATGATATTCCTTGTGATAAGATTCTTTAAGAGGATTCTTAGATGTTTCATTGTCATTGACACTATCAACAATATTATTATAAGATTGTTGAAATGTATTAGATTGTGAAGAAGTCGATGATGATGATGACAACGAAGATGATGAACACGACTGTTGTTCAATAAAATCAATCAGATCAGGTAATTGAGGCATAGTATCATTTTGCCAAGAATTAAAGAATTTTTTATGAATTTTATTATTCAGTAATTGATTTTGTAATTCAGGATTTATACGCCATACATCACCACGACCATCTGGTTCTTCTTTACGTCTAGGTACTCGTTGAAAACAACAACTAAATGTAAGATGTTGACGAATTATTTCCTAGTAAATAAAAGAAAAATTTACAAAAAAAAGCAGAATTTAAATAAAGGTTAATGGGGATATATCAATTTCAAAGTAATGCGTTCGTCAAGAATTAACATCGCATCGTAGAAAACCAGGGATTCCTCAACCGTACGAATATACATTTCTTTGAACTATCCAACCTGAAGTGGTTGCATAATAGTCACGAATCGCTAGAAGTTGGCAAAGTAAACCATTGAGTCGGAACTCAGTGGTTGAATAAGAACATGCTCATCGTAAGATCTGGTAACGCTGGGCTGGGTTCATAACACAGCAATGTGTGACTATTACTCACAAGTCCCTAACAATAAAATGAAACAGCTAGTCGTTCACAGCTTTCACGTTTTCAAAGGTTTTCTCGCTGATACTCATCCTTACTGAAAAAAACTAAATAAGACCACTGCAAAATATTTCATTAGTATAGTAGTCAAGTCTACCTTTGTGTATTCAGTTTATCAGGTCTCTTACTTTTTTTCCGGCCTCCTTGTCATGTGAAAAAAATTTCAAGGATTAACTACACTGTAGAAAAGATAACTCAATAACAAGTACTTTGTAAGGCATTTTAAGCAACGAAATACTTATTGAGTAGTAAATACCGATCCGTATGTATCAGTCAGTTAGGTTTGTATTGTGATCACTAAGTCAGGCGATATAATTCTATGGTAGACTGTATGTACTCTCTTATTAGGAAAACCGATTCGATTTAAGTACCATGCTTATGAAACTCATCAGTTAAGGTATATACAGAAATTTGATGTGAAAGCCTACAGTCTGTTGTTTTCCTGAACGCTTTAGAAATTACTGATTGCTCACGGGAGAGCAACCAATTTTATGTAGTCTAGTCCTGAGTACAGATCGAATCCTATCAATCATATTTGCAATGTAGAAAGTTCTCAGACAGCATACAGTTTTTGAAGAAACTATCCTATTGATAATCACCTATCTAATGATTAAATAAAGCGTAGTTTTTCAAATAAAAAGCCTGTAGAAAAAAAGGAAAATGGATGACATAAACATTAATCACTATTCCAAAGAGTCTATTAGACATTCTGATATATCTCTTGTTTTCTAGTTTTTACATTACAAGTAGGTTACTACTAAAAGTCTTTACTGTCAATCAGTATTACTAAGGTAGGATCGTGATTCTACTCTGTATCTCTTTAGTGTGTCACGTACAAAAAAGATAATCTTTATATCAGTGTCGAAAGCCATAAGAATGAGAACTTGGCGAACAGTAAAAGTAGGAAAAACATACATAACCCGAATAGCAAATGTATACTGCAGATGTGTGACACCAAAGAGTGTAGTAAAGTACTAAGTTGAGGTGAAGCAAGCTACCATGTGGATTGATACACATGGTATAACATTAAATTTTTATTAGATTTATCAGCCAGAGAAACAATTTATTCTCTGAATTATGCTTTGGACATATACATTATCCAGCAAATAATACTGTTTCACTGTTTGATGACATAAAACATCAACGTACACAAATGCATCACCTCAACTTGCCTCACTTCATAGTAGTATACAATGAAGAAGTGAATCGAAAACGATTGATATCAAAGTAGACAATGTTGTGTAAGAAAATAAATAATTTGGAGATGGTTAGTTGCAATATTCAAGTTTAGAGTGTTAACGAGTCCTCGACAAATAGCTGCTACCTTGACATGGTGGTCGGGTTTGCATATCACAATGATCAAAAGAGCTATGCTGGTGGAACACTTGTTCCCTCTAGATCTTACCATTCCAGAAAGGTCTGTTGGATAGTAGTAAATTACTACACTATGATGGGGGTCTGAGGGCGAAGTCGTACTGCTGCTAGCTGGATGGGGTGTGACACCAGTAAGGTGTTTCCCTTGGATGACCAGCAGTGCCATGCTGATGCTGCCTTCTCAGTGGAAGGGGGGGGTTAGAAAAGGTCGGCCCCAAAAATAACACACTCCACCACGCCCCACGGTCTGCCGGGCCGGCGGTGTTGGTTCACTTGTCGTTTCCTTTCGACCATCCGGCCCCAAAAATACAAAAGTTCAAAATAACCACATACATGAGGCTGCTTATGACAGGCCTCAAGCAGATGTACGATGGGCTCTGCGGTCACACAAATCTCTTTCAGGTACCTAAAGAAGAAATAGCCTTCCACGGTGTGGGCAGCGGGGAAGTGTCAACCGCCTTCACAACTCTGTCAGCACTCAAGTTTCTTCTGACTGCTATCCACCTCCCCCATCATTACCTTCTAATCTCCCTTCACGTCCTTCAACTAACAATACTATACCATCTTCAATTTCTACCTCTGCAGCCTTCGACAACGATCTGAGTCCACAGAACAGCATCCCTGGTCTCCTTAAACCACGCTCCAAATTACATATTGGAGCCTTCAATGTCCGCACCCTCCGTCAAATTGGCCAACAGGCTTCGTTGGCAAAGACTCTAGCAACTCGAGGCATGGATGTGTGCTGTGTTTGTGAGACACGCATACAGGACCCAAGTGTGGTTATTCACCTGACCTCTCCTGACCAATCTGGTGAATCTGCAAAATTCACCCTTCGAGTTTCTGGAGATTCGATAGCTAGCTCTCGTGGTCTTGCAGGTGTAGGTATAGCATTAAGCACCAGGGCAGAAAACTCACTACTAGACTGGATCCCAGTTGATAGTCGCCTCTGCGCTATGAGGCTGAACGGCACAGTGAGAACTAAAAGGAATAGTGAGACTCGCCGTTGTCTCTTTGTAATCTCTGCTTACGCACCCACTGACTGTAGTTCGGATGAAGTGAAGGACGAGTTCTACCATAAACTGTCTAACCTCCTCTCGAAAGCCAAACGTTCGGACGTAGTGGTTGTTGCAGGTGACCTCAACGCACAGGTGGGTAGACTGAGTGAGGCAGAAAGGCACTTAGGTGGCACTTTCGGAATCCCAGCTGAACGTACAGATAACGGTGATCGCCTATTACAACTATGCTCAGATAACCGCCTATTTTTAGCCAGCACAAATTTCAGACATAAAGAAAGGCACTGTCTGACCTGGCGTCCACCGAGCTCGACTCAGCGATGGACACAGATAGACCACATTGCTATTAGTCATCGCTGGAGAGGATCGGTGGAAGACTGCCGCTCCTTCTGGAGTACGTGTTTGGACAGCGATCATGCGTTGGTCCGAGCACGTATATGCCTGCGTCTCAATGGACGTAGAAAAAATTTGGCAACAAAACCACTACGAGTTCTGCTGGACAACGAAAACACCAAAGCCGTGTTCAGTGAGAAGTTGGCTAGGCAGTTATCGGAACAAAAGACTGTCACTCATCCAGAAGAAGCTTGGTGCCATCTTCAGTCTACTGTAAAAGCAGCACTGGAGACTGTAGCCGACTCCAAGATAATGGCTAAAAAGAGCCAGTGGATATCAGCAGCTTCTTCCAAACTAATGGATGCACGTGAATGCATCCCTGCAGGCTCTGAGTACAATGAAGAGCGAGCGCAACTTAAAAATAGACTGACGAAAAGTCTGCGCAACGATCGTGAACAGTGGTGAGCAGCGAAGGCTAAAGAGATGGAAAAGGCAGCGGCGATCAGTAACAGTAGACAGTTATTTAGACTTATTAAGGAGACTGGGGGAGGGGAAGATCAACAACAGTTAGTGAGACCATAGCAGAGAAGGACTGATCTGCGATTCACTCGCAGGGGAGACGACTGGAACGATTGGCAGAACACTTCAAGGAACAGTTTAGCTGGCCTGCAGCCACCACTGCGTTGCCCGCCATCCATTTGGATCCTGAATGGAATATTGAGATAGACCTCCAAATAGTAGCAGTAGTCGAGAAAGCGGTGGGTAACCTGAAACGAGGGAGGGCGGCAGGACCAGACGGACTAACTCCAGAGGTATACAAGGATGGTGGTAAGGGGCTCTTAGTCAGGTTGACGGAAGTGTCAACCAGTATATGGGGATCAAATACGACCTCCTCTGACTGGTGTGAATCACTGATTATTCCAGTCTTCAAGAAAGGTGAGAAGTCCTCTTGTGATAACCACAGAGGAATCAGCCTGACGAACATAGTGTCCATGATCCTAAGTTCTGTAATTCTTCGACGCCTTGGAGGAAGTCCACCGCAGCGAGCCTGAGAAAACCAGACCCTAGACCCGCTCGAGGGTGTACAAACCAAATATTCACACTGCGCTAAGTTCTGGAACACAGACACGCTTAACGACGCCTAACAATAATTGTATTTTTTGACCTGAAGGCAGGGTTCCACCCCGTTGATCGAGAAGTCTTATGTCAATGCCTCTCACTGAGAGGCATGCCAAGTAAGTACATCACCTTATTGAAGGCTAGCCACTCGAACACTTGTGGGCGTGTTACAGCCTATGGTGAGATATCCGGGAAGCTGCAGTCGTCGAGTGGTGTCCGTCAAGGCTGTCAACTCTCTCCACTCCTATTCAGTTTTATCATCGGCATTCTTATGGAGGTATCCCTCTCCTCACCTGATTACACAGACGTCCACCTAATCACTGCAGAATTTTCATTAGATGTAGAATACGCAGATGACATAGTCTTGTTAAGTGAAGACGCTGACAAGATGCAGAGTCTTGTGAACACTTGGGTGCGTTTCTCAACACCCAACTGCAAATTGTTGCTCCACGATTGGTCTTCAACAGTGCATCGGTTAAGAATAGAGAGTGTAGTGGTTGAGTGTATCGACCAGTTCACTTGAGATCAGCCCTGGTGACTGGCTCACTGGGTGATGAAATCTCTTCACGAATACAAGGGGCTCGACTGGATTTTGACAACTTACACCACCTGTGTCGCTGGCGTGATATCACATTGTCTACTAGGGGTCGTGTGTACTGCACACCGGTCAGGTGTGTTCTACTGTGTATGACTGTGAAACCTGGCCATTGAAAGTGGTTGACATGAGAAGGCTGACTGACTGGCTTCAGGTGTTTGACCACTGTTGCCTTGGTAGTAAATGCCGTATTGTGTGGTGTCAGCATATGAGTAACGCAGAAGTGAGGTGTAGAGTTTAAGGTAGAAGAGTTGAGTGGGTTGAGGAAGTTGTGAACCTTCATCGATTGAGATGGTTGGGACGCGTATTGCGTATACCTATTCGGCGATCGGCTCGTGACACAATGTTGACTGAAGTAGGTTGAGGCTGGAGAAAGGGTCTGGGTGTCCAAACTGAAACATGGTATTAATGTATGAAGTCTTTGAGTGTTGATTTGAGTCATGTGAGTCGATGTAGACTAGTCGGTTGGGGTTGGTGGGACAAGAGGAAGCAGTTGTTGTAGACTCTATTTGATCACATGACTCAGAACTTATGTCAGTGGCACAGATGTCTACACACATTATCGTCATCTTAATAATGCTATACCGAATCTCACCATTTTCTCTTTCTTCCTTTCTCTCTTTTAGTACTTTATATTTCTTTTGACTGAATTTTATTTTCTTCATCTTCCAGTTCACTGCCTTTTTACTTGATGTAGTGATATGAGGTGTGACAACTAGGAGGGTTATGCAGTAATGCTTGGTCCCATGTTGATATTCATGATGATGATGATGTTAAGGAGTGAATTCATCTGCGCCACTGTGACCGATTTTTATTCTTGTTATCAAGAGTCATCAATCGTTAATTCCTGTCATCTCTGCGACACCAACCAGCTAGTCTACATCTCCGAAACTATCCAGATTAACAGTCAGCGACTGCATCAACTGATGCCATGTCCTTGTCTGGCCACCATCAACCCTCTTACAACCTAAACCAACTTCCCCTAGAATACCACATCCAGGTAGGTGATGGCCACCTCACTCGATGAATAATACCAACCTCAGCAATCTACTTGCCTATCTTGTCTAGTACCCTTTACCTAACATCAACATTAGTCACACAGTGGTTCCACCAAAGGTGAGCAATATCTGTGATCAAACACCTGTAACCGCTTCGTGTCTTCTACTTTAATGACTCTTTCCCACAGCCTTACAAAAGGACAAAACGAAATGTAGCACAGTATACTCGTCGTTTGATAGATGGTCGGATATCTTGCCAGATGGCGTCACAGGTGAGGGAAGTTGGCAATTGCCAGGTAGGCCTTCTCTATTCGAACTGAGATTTCGTCAGTAAGCAACCAGTTCAGGTTGGTGCAACTCCTTGAGTAAGTGAATTGGTCGACACTTTCAGCCGCTCCATTCCCTATCATTAAACTGTTAGTGATTCTAGACGAGTCCTGGAGCATCATCTTACATCAGACAGATGACATTGAAACTCATATCAAATACGCTCAGATTCCTACTCATTGGTTTCAGAAGACGTCTGCATTTTGTCAGCGTCTTCAGTTAGCATGATAATATTGTCTGCATACGCCAAGTCAACCAACTGCCTTCCAGGTAGAAGATCAATCCCTGTGAAATCAGATGTCCTTAAGGTCATGTCCATTAGTACGTGTATAACGTGATAGTGGGGATTCCTAGCACTCACTATCTGATAAATCTAATAAAATAACTTAAATGGAATTGTATTCGATTAAACGACTCAAGGCCTAACCGTATTAACAATCCACTTAGGCGTCACATCACTTAGCTCGGTAACATACTGCAAACTTGATTGATAGACTTAGGCTAAAGGTGAGTGCTAAAGACTATACAGTTACTTCGGTTACAAAGTTGTAACTAATTCTTGTCCTTAGTCCATCCCTACAGAAAGTCATCTGTGATCTTAATAAATTAGTATGAAAATATTTGATTTCAATGCTGAGTGACACAGATTCAAGCATCTAAGGGAATACCAGCTTCGCTATAATCGGAGATAAGTACCAACATACTTGGCATTTACGTTGAACAGGACTTCCTGTCAGTAGATTTTAAACATTTGCCACCAGTGTACTGCTATATAATTCATCAAACATAATTTTAAAAAGTGATAAACGCAAGAAATGGCATTCGGTCTATCTATGTGAGTTAACTTTTACTGAAGCTCGAACTGAACTAATATTCATTTCAAAGAGAAGATGGTCTGAGTGTTTATGCCTTTCCCTGTTCAGTTCAACACATGAATATACACTGACACATGAAATATACCCATTGGGATTTGAAAGAGGAACAAGTATTTCAGTGAAGAGTCTCTTTTCAGCGTTTTCATTTTCAAACCTGTATATTCTTAAATTTATACATTTCTCTAGTGTAAAGATTCTATAGTTGAAAACGGTTTGTCAAGCATGGCAATCAATACAGACAGTGTCATGTATTTTTCAGATGAGTGGGGATTTTTAATTTAGAAGTAGTATTCATCATAGGACTGACATTAGTTGCGGAACCACTGAAAGTCTGGGAGCACTGTACAGCTGTTTGGTCCTACTATGGGACAACTTAGCAGTACGCACCCACCACCCGGCTAGGGATAGAACTCAGGACCTTCAGATTTCACGGCGAACGCGTTAACCATCCAACCACTGGGCCGGTTTCCAGTGGTTCACAGTTTCCAAATTCTGTCAATTCACAACAGCGCAACCGTCACCCAAGGTCTTCAGTAGGCATCCACTTCACTTCCGACTGGTTGACTCCACAGGTCACGGCTTCTCATTAGGGAATTTGGAAATTGAGAACCACTGGAAACCGACCCAGTGGCTGAATGGTTAACGCGTTCACCGTGAAACCTAAAGGTCCTGAGTTCGATTCCTAGCTGAGTCGTGGGTGCGTACTGCTGAGGAGTCCTATACTAATACAAATAGCGTCAATCATGTGGTGTCACTGAAGTCCAAAAACCAAAAATTGATGATTAGTGAATATCATTCAACATAAGTTTGAACAAGAAGATGTTCCGTAACATGACAACGACATAATTAGAAAGTGAATTGTGATAGTAACAAGAATGAGTAGCAAATTGCTTAAGAAGTGGATAGTGTCAAAACAGAAAAATGAAAAGAAAAAAGGGGGTAGAGTATGTTTCAAAAACTGAAAACTAAGACCATGAAAAGAGAAGGGGTAGAACAATCTTCAATTATGTGCACAGTTCAGGTGTCTCAATATCGATGGCAAGAGCTTCGGCAGTGCAGAGAATACGAAAACATACAGCCTCCGGAAGGTTTCTGTTCCCTTTATAGATGACTTTGAAAGAGGAGGTTCTTGAGATAGGATGATTCGTGTTCACGACATGTTCAATCATAGTACTCCTTATCGCTCCATTGTTACCTCTTTGTAACCATGATGGATAGTTTTCTATGAGTGACTTTAAAAACCTGTCTCGCAACAAATGAAATAAGCAATTGGATTCAACTATTTTATGAAAATCTGCCTTTTTAGCCAAAATAAATAAACGTGATTGGTTATTTCAGGCGTCGCTAGGATGGCTCTTAAAGTTACCTGGCGATCGAAAGAAGAGCTACCTTGTCAAACCTCCAAACAAGGAAGACCTAAGTCTTCGCAACAACCGGCATCGAATCATGCTTCGGTCCCTGTCCACCTCAAGCAAAATAGTAAGCCGTATAATCCTAGAGACAATAAACAATGCACCGCATTCAAAATCACAACCAGAAAAGACTGGATTCAGGAAGTACAAATCATGCGCGGATCAAATTGAAACACTACACTGCTCATCATCATAAAGCAGAGTATAGAATGACAGTCAACTGTCTACCTCACTCAACTCAGCTTCATCGATTTTGAAAAGGCCTTCGAAAGCATCGATCGACTGAGAAGCAATTTGGAAGTTGCTTCCACACTATGGAGTACCATTAACCTCTATCAACCTCATTAAACAGCTATATGACAACGCCAAATGCCTTGTGATTCACAATGGGAAGCTCAGTGATGCCTTCGAAGTGAAGACAGGGGTAAGACGAGGTTCCCGCCCACTATCACCATGATCTTCCTGATTGTAGTGGACTCGATCATGCAGTAATTCGTGATGAGTGAGAAGATAGGTATACACTGGACTGGGAAAAGATCCTAGGAGATTTGGATTTTGCTCATGATTTATGTCTGGAGTCTTGTCGCAGAAACCCGAAGATCTACAGGCAAACACCAACAAGCTGACAGAAGAGGTGAGACAGTGAGGGGAGACAGGACTTCTTTCAGGTGAACCTAGAGAAGATAGAGGTGATGAAGATCCCCAATCAATGTCACCACCACCAAGAACATGCTGCAATCACTATCAACGGGAGAAATCTAAGTGAAGTAGCCTCTTTCACCTATCTAGGCAGCATCGTTTGAACTACTGGCGATGGCGGCACAGACGAGAACGTCAAATCCAGGATCGGAAAGACGGCAAGACTGTCGTTTATTAACCTGCACTCAGCGTAAATCATGAAGAACATCCTAGTTTTCAACACTAATCTCAGTGAAATCAGTGCTTCTATGTGGTTCAGAAACTGGCGCATCACGAAAAACATTTCTATAAACTACAGATATTCATCAACAACTGCCTAAACTGGCTCGTAACTGAAGCTCAGATGGCCAGAATAATAAGAATAAGCAACAAGGAACTCACTCTTACAACGAACCAACAAAGCAAAAGCCTATCGCTCAACAAATCTGCAGTGGAAGGAAGTGGAGATGGATTGGGCATACACTAAGAAGACCGATTTGGGGACATCACGCGTCAGGCCAGTCCCTCGAGTGGAACCCAGATGGGAAACAGCGAGTTGGGCTTCATATCTGAGGATGACATGGAGAAGATCATGTGAGGAAGAAATGAAAACTTCTGGGCTGTCGTGGAACCAGGTTTAAAAGTTTGAAGGGAATAGAGTGCACTAAAGACGTGCTACTGAAGCCCTATATTCCACTAGGAACCCAAGGGACAAATAATAATAATAATAATCATAGTAATATAGAACGTAATAAATATTCATTGACATTACCGATTAAATTACACATACCTGCCATAAATTTTCTTTCATAGTACGATAAAAAGCAAAATGAACTTTAATCCATGCACAAATATCATTCAATGTGAATTTATGCTTTTTCAAAGAATTTACAGCCATATAAATTAATGTATGACATTTAAACAATGGTTTACAATTAACATCATAACGATAATCATCTTTTTCTTGCAATGATAAGTCATCATATTTTACAAATAATTCAGTATTCTTTAGTATATTATTATTATTATTGTTACTATTATGACAGTAATTTTGTGTATCAATTAAGATATTTGCCTTTGGATTATACCATTCACTTATCAAATCTACAGAATCTTGATTCATATCATTAATATTCAATGTATCGTTAGTCTTTGTGTTTGGCGCCAAATTAAAGTCTATTAAATTAGCGGGATAAATATCACTTTTAAAAAGTTTTTGTACACTTGGTATTAAATAATGATGAGGCTGCTGCTGCTGCTGCTGATGATGATGATAACGTCCGAATTTCAAAAGATTACTATTTCGATGTGCTGAAATAGGACTGTTCAATACATGCTTATTATTATTATTATTATTATTTATGTTGTCCTCTAATAAAGTTGAATTCCTACACTTCTGGTTATCCCCGATATCGTTGGCAGTACATAAATCGACGGGATTAATACAAACAGGATTTATTACTCGTTCATAATGTAAATTTGTAAATATCAATGGATTCGGTATAAAATTAATACGATTATTACCAATACTATTGTTACAGGAAATATTAGAGTCATAAGGAACTAAATGATAATTTAAATGAATATTTTGAAAATTATTATTCTTATATAGTGAAAGTAAATCCTTGTATTCTTTGTCAACACCACTAATACTACTATTCTTATGATTATCAGTAGTATAATCTAAACCAAGCGTATCATTATTATTTGATAAGAGTTTGGAATTGTTCGTTAACGATTGAACAGCTGAATCATTTCTATTGTTTAATGTGAGTGAATATGTTATTTCACTTGAATTTTCATCAGGATATTGTAATGATCGAAATTTCTGTGATAAACTCCTCCTAGTTATTGTTGTTGTTGTTGTCGTCGCTGATGATGATGATGATGACAGGAATATACTGCTGTGCTGTGTATTAGTTGATGAATTTGTCAAAAATCCAGGAGGTGTTGCAGGTGGTGAAAATGGTGTGCTTGTAGAAGTGATTTCATGAATATTCAAAGTCTGGTAAAAATTTAGAGTGAAAAAACAAGAAAAAGAAAATTGAGCAAATAATAATTAAATTCATACAGAAATAATAAATCAGTGTGAATGAGAGTATTGTTATTATTATTATTTGTCTCTTGGGTTCCTAATGGAACACGGGGCTTCAGTAGTACGTCTCTAGTGCATTCTGTTCTCTGCAATCTTTTGAACCTGTCGCCACAACTGCCCACAAGTTCTCAATTCTTCGTCTGGGTGACCGGAGTAGATTATTGATTCTTCAATTGACAGTTTGGAGAGTCCACCCCCATTCCATCTGCTCTCGTAGATTCCTATCACTTCAGTACGATACCTTTTCATCTCGTTTACAATCTGGGCAGCCTTTCTAGGTTCAAACATTGCGCGGATATTCCATATCCCCTAGGTTTTTCTTTCGCTTTCATCGAGAGGGAACACATCAGCCAATTGGCTTCCCGAAGGCTTTCACCAATCGGCGTTGTTTCGCCTCTCCGATTCCAGTGAGGAATAAGATGGTTTTTATTTTTTTATATTTTGTTTGTGCTTTGAAGTTTGTTTAGCGGTTTGATTGGCTTTACGGGGTAGGGTTGCTAGCCCCACGCCCAACCTTCTCTCATTACCCGCGCTTAGGACCGGCTAGTAACTAGTGAACTAGTTCACCAGGTGAGGTTGTGAATGAGAGGAGTGACTATGAAATTGTAAACAGCATAAGATTTTCATTTGTCAATGGACTAGTCACAAGTGAGCAGTTGGTGGAGTTGTTCTGTCTTTACGGCTTAGAACTGGTTAAGGTTTATTGCTCTAGTCTAACAGTGTCGTAACTGATCAAAGTAGGGTAACACTCCGGTACACTCTGTTTAGCCATGAGATGGATGTTGGTGGCCAATCAGCTGGAAACTCTGTTCAGTAGGCAAACTGTGCTACAGTGCCCATTTCTTACATATTTTTACATTGAGAAGTGTTGGAGATTGTGGAAATATTCACCGAGGTAAGTGTCAACACTCCACTACAGTACAACGAGTAAACTAGTAGCAGGTGAAGAACAATGTCACTATTAGAAAAGTTAGATTTTCTATTCTAAAGATGAAGTGAATGGTAAGAGAATTCTCCTTGATAATTTCCGAGTACTGAAGTTCTGTGAGTGGATTCTTTTCTGTCCCTTAGAAAATTGTATCAATTATGATAATCATGAGTTCAGGTCACGCTATATTAAGAATTGATAGAAATTAAGAAGTATAGACTATGATAGTGGTTAGTTAGTTGAAGGCAGTCGGCAGGAATCCCTTGCTGACCTAGGTTTCTACCATATTGGCACGCATTACGAGGGCATATCTGCAGGCCTGAAGAAATTGTTCTCTTCAAATATACTCCACATGAAAAATTTGAGTAATAATAGGCAACTCGTACTGAACTGTATACTTCACCAGTCAGATCAGAGTGATCTCAAAACCGGAAAGCTGTTCTGGTTATTTCGGGCTGTGCTCATCAACGGTTTTTCTCAGACAAACTCACTTCATAGAGCTGAACTACTTCAGAACACTTGTATCTGACTAGCTAATTCTCTGAGCTAAATTCATCAAATACATTGGTTGGTAACTGGAAGGTAAACAATTTCATGTGACCAACTAATGTAGGCACAGACTATTTTGTTTTAACCTAGCGGATGAAGGATAAAATGCTTATCATGACAAGGAAAAACGTTGGACTCTATCCCTTACAAATGACCACTAGTTAGAGATATGCATTTACCACTTCACAGTTGTGTAATACTCCTTGTTTTTCGATAGTTCTTTTGTCGAATTTCCTTCTATACTGGAAACTTACCACAATATCCACTTTATTGCCAAGACATTAACCAAGCAAACGAAAAGCTTACGGAATAACGAAATGTGGATCGACAGACTAACAATCGTGACTTGAGCCACAGATATTTGCTAATGCATCGAAAGCATGTAAAATCCTGTCTAGTTTATAAACACACATCAGTGGTCTCAGTGGCTTAGTGGATAACGCTTTGGAGTTTGAAGCGATGGGTACATTGGAGACAACACCATTCACTGGGGAGCAGGTATATCCAGCTGACGAGTCCTGAACTCCTTTGCTAGCCACAACTGACTGGATTACTCATCAACATCACCATAAAGATCACAAGAACTTAGTCTCTTCAAGCATCTCAGTTTCTCCTTTCCCTTGGAGTTTACTGGTGGACAGCATAATTGTATATTACTTATTTGTTGTATGGGCTTCATAAATCAGTCAATCAGTCAGTAAGTTAGTATTCACTAATTAAGCACAATAATCAGGTCGAAGTCATTCAGGTTATTAATTTGTTTACCAATTTATTTATTTTTGTTTGTTCTGTTTGGTTTGGTTTGATTTACAGTTTCATAACTCAAAAAAACCGAGTGACCTGAAGAAATGTGTTGTTGAAAGTGAGACGATAATAATAATACTAATATTAATAATAATGATAATAATAATGACGATTACATCTCCCTCCGATTTGTTTCGTTGTTAATTTTTTTATCTTTTTGTTATAAGGCGAAATATTATATGAGAGAAACTATTTCACGATTATTATTATTATTAATACTGGCAATAAACAATTGCCTTATATCTCCCGCATCTGAAATGATTTACGTTTGAGTTCATTATGAATAAGTTATTTTGAATAGATTACATTATGATTATTATTATTATTTGTCCCTTGGATTCCTAGTGGAACGAACATAAGGCTTCAGCAGCACGTCACCATTTCACTCTCTTCTCTCCAGTCTCTTCAACCTCGCTCCAACACTGCCCACAAGCTTTCATCATTTTCTCACACAATCCCCTCCATCTCATCCTCGGATGGCATGCCCAACATGTCGTTTCCTATTTGTCTTCCATCCGAGGGTCTGACCTGTGCGTGATGTCCCCAATCGGTCTTCTCAGTGTATGTCCAATCCAATCCATCTCCAATCTCTTCTTTTGCATATTTGTTGGGCGATAGGTTGTTGGTTGGTTGGTTCGCTGCCAGCCAGCAGGCCAGCCAGCCAGCCAGCTAGAATTCCTTGTTGCTTGTTCGTATTATTCTCGCCATCTGATCTTCACTGTCAGTATCCAGTGAGCGTAGGCGGCAGCTGTTCATGTGATATATGTCTCCAGTTTGTGGAAAATGCATTTCGTAACGCACCACCAAGTCTCTCAACCATCACATAGAAGCACTGACTTGAGTGTGACTGAGATTAGTGTTGACAATCCAGATGTTGTTCACGCTTTATGCTGAGTACAGTGAAGTGTAGTGCAGTGCGGTGCAGTGGAGTAGATCTCCACACTGATTTCAGGTTAATGAAGGTCTTTCCTGATGTCTTTCCTATCGTGTCTTTGACATCCTCATTTGTGCCTGTGCTGCCTGTAGTCGAAACGATGCTGCGTTGCCTAGGTGGTAGATGGAATAGACAACTTCGTTTACATTTCTTTCCTTCATAGTGATTAGTGCTTGTTGTTGGTGGTGGTGACATTGATTGGGGATCTTCATCACCTCTGTCTTCTCTAGGTTCACCTGAAAGAAGTCCTGTCTCCCCTCACTGTCTCACCTCTTCTGTCAGCTTGTTGGTGTTTGCCTGTAGATCTTCGGGTTTCTGCGACAAGACTCCAGACATAAATCATGAGCAAAATCCAAATCCCCTAGGATCTTTTCCCGGTCCAGTGTATACCTATCTTCTCACTCCTCACGAATTACTGCATGATCGAGTCCACTACAATCAGGAAGATCATGGTGATAGTAGGTGGCAACCCTGTCTTACCCCTGTCTTCACTTCGAAGGCATCACTGAGCTTCCCATTGTGAATCACTAGGCATTTGGCGTTGTCATATAGCTGTTTAATGAGGTTGATAGAGGTTTATGTTACTCCATAGTGTGGAAGCAACTTCCAAATTGCTTCTCAGTCGATCGATGCTTTCGAAGGCCTTTTCAAAATCGATGAAGCTGAGTTGAGTGAGGTAGACAGTTGACTGTCATTCTATACTCTGCTTTATGATGATGAGCAGTGTAGTGTTTCAATTTGATCCGCGCATGATTTGTACTTCCTGAATCCAGTCTTTTCTGGTGGTGATTTTGAATGCGGTGCATTGTTTATTGTCTCTAGGATTATGCGGCTTACTATTTTGCTTGAGGTGGACAGGGACCGAAGCATGATTCGATGCCGGTTGTTGCGAAGACTTAGGTCTTCCTTATTTGGAGGTTTGACAAGGTAGCCCTTCTTCTCAAGAATCGGAAGGTATATTTCCTTCGTTTTTTCCAAGGTTTTTGCATGAGTGGCGTGAGCATGTCGGTTGCTGATTTCTCTGCGTCTTTTTCCAGTGCTTGTGGAGGGATTCCATCTGGTCCTGCTACTTTCTCGGTTTTCAGCAAATTTATGGCTTTCAGGACCTTATTTCCGTTTTCGTCGGAGGGCATGTGTTCACTGGTAATTCTGTGACTTCTGGTTGTATTTCAGGACGAGTTGCAGGTGGTGGTCGATTTAATATCTTTTTGAAGTGGTCACCTCATTGTTTCCTTTGTTTCTCCTCTTTGGTAACTAGGTTCATTTCACTATCTTTCATTGGTTTTTTATGCGTAGATCTTTTGGTTATTTGATATAATGTTGTCAGGTCTCTGTCTCTCCTACCTGCAGCCTGTCCTGCTTTCCTTTGCAAGTGCGTCGTAGAATTGTCTTTTGTGTTTGCGCCCACTCTTGTTCACTTTTTTGTCCAGTGTTTTATGGGTTGTGTTGAGTTCCTGCTCTCCTTTTTCACTTCTGCACTGCACTGGTTCATCTTTTGCCTCACCATCTTCCTCTCCCTTCTCTATCAGCTTCCATGTATTCGTCGAGATCCATTCATTGTCTTGCCCCTTCTTCTTTCTTCCTAATATGGTTATACAGGTTTCTTCCCACATAGCTTTTAAGGAGTTCCAGTGTTCATCCACACAGGTTTCTTCAGGGACTTTGCTCAATGTCTCCCATTTGGCCTGATGGCTGACATGAAGATTTCCTTTGTAGTTTCGTCTCTTAGTTCATTTTCTGTTCTGGGTGTTGGACTTCGACTGTGGTCTATCACCGACTTCCTTGAAGGCTTTCAACTTGATTTTGAAGGCAGGTTCCTTGTAGTAGATAGCAAGTTGTCTGAACCTACATCTCGTCTTCTTGATCTCGTGTCCAGTAGGCTGTGTCTCCACTTTCTTCACATCAAGGTGAAGTCGATGTGATTTTCAGTGTAGTGTGTCCATCTCGTGAAGTCCATGTCGCTCGCTTTGTGAATAGTTTTGTGTTTGTACACACTGCGTGACTCCAATCACCAAGTCGCTGAATGTCCAGAAATCCGCAAACAGTTCTCCATTCTCTTTCATCGTTTCACCGAGTGCTTCTCTACCCATGATCAGTTCTCCTCCTGTGTTATCCGCTCCCCGCAGTTTGGCATTTATATCACCTATTAGAATTTCGATGACGCCAACTGGAGTGGGATCTTGTCTAGTACTGATTGCAGTTGTCTGTAGAATTCCTCCTCCTCCTTCTTCTCTTCATCTGCATTATTTGTAGGTGTGTAACGTAGTGTGGTATTGTATCATTGTGACTTTGCTTCCTTTCGAGTTGAATCCATCTTGCTGTCATGATCCTGATCCTGAAGGAGGAGATTGATTCCCATTGTATGAGAGACAGCCTTGGATGCTGTTGGGGACATCATGATAGCCACTTCATAACTCATTGTGGTAGTGGTTGTCGTGTGGGTGACAATATTGGAGTAGATTATTGACTATCCAGTTGATAGTTTGGAGAGTCCACTTCCACTCCATCTGGTTTCGCAGCTTCCTAGCACTTCAATTCTATACCTTCTCATCTGCTTTGCAATATGGGCAGCCTTGCCAGTCAGCTTCAAACACCATGTGGACATTCTATGTCCCATGTTTACTTTCGCTTTCATCGAGAGAGAGAGAGAGAGAGAAGATATATCGGCGAATTGGCTTCCCGAAGGCTTTCATCAACTGATGTCATTTTGTTTCTCCGATTCCAGCGAGGAATAAGTTTATTTTCATTTTTTTTATTTTCTATGTGCTTAAAAGTTTGTTTAGTAACTGGATTAGTTTCACTGGGTAGGTTTCCTAGCCCTATGCCCAGTCTTCTCCCTTTATCCCGGCTTAGTAAACTAGTTACTTAGGCGAGGTTGCCCACAGTGTGGTACAGTTTTTATTTACTAGATGATCACGTTTAGAGCATAAATTATTATCATTGCACATAATCATATCAATGTAATCACCCTCCACTCTCGATTTCTGATTTTTATAGTCCTGTCACCTCATATACTTTGTTTCCGTTAGTAGTTTTTATCACACCTCTGGTATAGGTGTTGGATCATTCCAGTTACATGTATTGGGCGTTGGTTGATTCTATGAACAAAGATTCGGTAATCAATCTCTCTCTCTTCCCACCTAGTTATACTGGACTCAAGTACAGTGGTTATAACCCGCCTAACCTACTGTGTGGTTGTGTTCATGCATCCATTGGAATAACCGAGTGTTTTTCTAGATTACTGATCCTGTTGCGCTGTGTCATTCTATATTTAGCTAAATTTCTATGTTTCAATAATTTAACTGCCCGAACCGCCTAGTTCGAGCTATGTAGTTGACTACATAGTCATTACATGGGATTGGGTACATTAGGTTATTTTGTTTTTATCAGTTCCAGTGGATCCTCAGGCCAGCCGACAAAGCTTATCTCTGAGTGAGTTTGTAGGTAGCTTTAAATGCCACCGTAATTGCAGCTTTATTGAGGATCCTACGTAAAGTTTCTGATGTACCTTCTTTATGTGGTAACACAATGGAGTCTGTAAGCTCATTTCAACTTGTGTTGTCATTATTATTCGTACTCGTATTACACTTATTATTTCGTTTTTTATGTGTTCGTATGAATTTCCTAATAGACTGTAGAGGATGACTATTAATTATTAGTGTTTCTTTTAAGTACTTCTATTCTTTTTTTAGGTCGTTCCATTAGCCGTCTAGTCAGTTTTCTAAGTCTATCATTTAAACATTTGACTAAACCTCCCTTAATTGACTGACACTGAACTGAGGTCCAGATACCTGTTGATATGCGTAGGTTTTCTGTAGACGGTAGTATCCAAACCACCGTCTGTCCTTCGTTTTTATCTTACTACCCCTAAAAGCAAAGAATATGAAGGAGATGACAGGAGTATAAAAATCAAATATGGAGAGTGGAGTGTGATTACACATTGATATGATAATAAACGATAATCAATTATGTATACTTGAAAGGTGGTTGCTTAATGAATAATACTATATCGCAGTGTGTACTGGCTATATCAAATAAACAAATGTTATTATGAAATTACATTCTACAACAGTACTCAAGTTTTCAACTTATAGCCTACATAAACAACCAATCATTGATTTTTTAGATTGCTTTAACAACTTCAAACTTTACAAAATATTTCCAGTCTTCTTTTGTTGAATATAAGAGTTTTATGTGGGTGATAAATTGACAAGTGCTGTATACTGATCGAATAACAGTAGACCACAGTAGCAATACACTTAGCCTAGCGGCTAATCGCAAACTTGGTCGGTAAAATTTAATCAGCGTTAAACACTGAAAATTAGATAGTCACACTCCTCACGAACTGGTTGCCGATTCATGCGAATAATCCAGCTCTACACAGGATCAGTGGTGACGTGAACAGTATGATAGTAAAGTCTCTGACCCTAACACTGCAAGACACAAGTCTAGACCGATAGAGGAATATAAGTTTACTCGTGGTTGCGGATACGCTTGATTGATTAGTGAGAACAAGTGCGAAATCTAGGAGAAGCAGAATATTTCACTGATGTAATATCGACATCTAACGTGCGAATACGGGTTGGTGTAGTGTTGCATTTCTTCGCTTTCGATTCCGACCCAGTGGCTCAACGGTAATGATATGGTTGAGGAGTCTACAGGTTCTGGTTTCTATCTCTGGTGAGGTGAAGTCATGAGTGCGTGCTCCTGGGAAGTCCCATACTAGGATGGAACAGCTCTTAAGTGCTCTCAGATTTCTAATGGTTCACCAACTGATGTCAGTTACTGATAAATATGAACCGAAAAGTAACTTGGTTTGAAATCGCGATCGCAGTGGCTCAGATATATTCTCACACAAGTTTAAGGTTGATAAGTGTTGATATCAAACGAAAAACGAATTAAAGGGGTACCATAAACATTTATCGGGTATTTTCCTCTTAATTCTTAGTGGTATATACGCATACTGAAGCCTTATGTAGACTGCCGCTTAAATTGTAGCCTCAACTACATACTGTAGGTTTCAGGGTTTAATCTGTACTTGACATTGAAACAAATGTCAAGAGTGAACGTATTGACACATATGATAACATCATCTTCACAAAGGTTGAATTTATAACGTGTTAAAAGAGTTCACGAAGAGAGAATCTATTGACAGTGGAAATGTTCAGGCGAATCACCAGGACAGAAAATAGTCAAATATGCCAAGATAAGATATTCTTTAGCCATGAAAAGATAACGAGTGGAAAGATTTCAGCCTTCTGTTCCTTACAGTCAGGTAGATAAAACATCCCTAAGCAATTCAAAATAGCAGTCAAATACCTTGTAGATTGGAACAATCTATTTGTTTTGTCGACTCAAACTTATGGCAGGTATAATCAGATGTCATAGGAGGAATTGGCAAAGTTTACTGCAATCACCTTATTCATGGTAGTTCGTTAACTTGATCGACCTAAATCCTCTTTTCATGAGATATTCTAAAGTGTACACTAACTTTTCTTGAAGGGAACCATTCTTATTTGTACTATCTAGTGACAAGAAATATTTTCTTTCATCTCAAAAGATTGAAAATCGATTGTCAAGGATAAATATCACCATCTGGGGTTTATAAAAATTACATAAAACTAGTTTGATCCAGGTTAGAAAAGAACAACAACATATATAAGTTACATTATTATATATGAAAATTACATACCTGTAACCAATTCAAATTAGTCAATGAATCATCATGTTCCTGTACACTGAAGGATACCTCTTCAGAACTACGTGTTAACCAGTTCTCTCTTAACTTTTTAGCCAAAAAGTCACTTGTATATTCAAACATCATTTTCTATTTACTGAAAAACAATAAAAATAAAGACTTTTTATAATGTTAGTCAATTGATATGGTCTTCTCATAATTGTATAATTTGTACATCAAATAATATATCGTACAATTATATTCATAATATGAATATTGTAGCAGTAATTGTAAGCTAGAAATAAACACTATACGATATCGATTTATTATTGGACAATATTTGTTAAAGTGAAATCAATTACCTTATCTAACTAACAGATGATCAGGAAGTAGCCTATACATTTTGCACGAATGAAATCCTATAAGATAGGCTAGAGTATCCATATAAATGAAATACAAGTGATGATTGAATGTTTGCAGCCAGTGAAAATATAATGTCCATGGTCAAATGGACATTTTAATGTCTTTTATCCTTGAATCCATCCCAAAGCCTAAGTCCTGATGGTGTTTCGAGCATTATATTTAGAGAATGTGCAGATATTTTATGTCATCCCCTTATAGATATCTTCAATGCATCGTTTTCTAAAAATACAATACACGCTGCTTGGAAGGAGATCAAAGTTGTACCTATGCCTATGTCATCTTCTGGATCAGATGTTACTTTTTTGACACATCGCTGTAACTTCCTCTTTTTTTTGAAGACAATGGAAAAATTACTTCTCCTTGTGCTTAAGCTTTCAAAAAAGACTTACAAAAACAGGAGAAATACTTGCATGATAATATTATTTCCAGCCTATACAAAGTTGTTAAGTATGTTCGTTCAGCTTTCCTGGATTAATCATTAACCTTTGACTCTGTTCCTAGACCACTCTTGTTAAATAAGCTTTCCATAGCTCATAGCATATTACATAACGAAACTGAGACTGTCTGGTATAACTCAACGTCTGGTTTTGCAATTTAATAATTCCTGCATTTTACCTATTCTTCTCTGTTGTCCACCACTGATCTTTTCTGGTCTGCTAAAAAAAGACTGTGTATTGTATTGCATAGGGCTTTGCAAGCCGGCAGGATGAGTGCTGTGCCTCTGACCCAACTGATTAACACTGTAGCTGACAGACATTTAAATCCTAGCAAGCAACTACCTACAGTAATTTTAATTGACATTGATCATCCACTTCATTCACAGGTGTCTCCTTGTATCTTCTCAGGGAGGACAAGAAGAAACTACATAAGGCTGTACACTCGTACAGCCAAATACAAAAATTCGACTCCACCTTACCTAGCACGCATATTATGTAAGGAAAAAAGTGTTCGAACAGAACTCATATATCAACTTTGTAACAGTTAACAATTTCATCTCAACAATTGAATTAATAATGTAAAAATTTCTCGCTACTAATATTCTATACATTATGATTATTTATACATATAGTTCTCTGTTGTTTTTTTGTGGGATCAAATTGTTTAACCTCTATTAGCATATGGGCTCCTATGAGGATGCCTGAATATTGCTTAAATGTTAATCATGGTAATTTGCTTAGTTGTGGCTAGTAGAAGAATCCAGGAAGCGCGTTTCGTCCTGTTTGGGACTCGTCAGCTGGATGTACCTGCACCCCAGCGGATCCAAAATAGGATGAAACGCTAGTCTTGGATTTTTCTGCTAGCCATAACGAAGCAAATTACTATTCTTTACATTACTTAAATTTTTACAATAACCCGATTCGAAATGTTTCAAAGAAGTATATACATAAGCACATATTTTATTGTTCCAGTATATCATGATAAGAATGCCAAATTGTACCGAAAATTGCTTGGAACAAAGACAATATTATTATCATTATAAAAACATCTAATTTCCTTATATTTTGTTGAATGTTAACCATCGGAAATTTATTCTGCCCAAATCCTTGTAATTTTATGTGTCAGGAGAACTAGTAACGAACATACTTGAATTTTAACTGTTACCCCACTACAACAGAACAACAACACCAAGTATTTTAAGACTGTAGAATATTGCCAAATAAAAAAAATACACTGAAGAGTTTCTCTGTAAATCATAAGGGAAGATGTCAACGTATCCTTATGATGGAATGTAATTTCTACTCAGCTGAAAATAGTAGGCTCAAATGAATCGAGTAAGAGAGGTAAAACTCATAGGAATACCTCAAATACAGTCAAAAAGAATATCAGACAGACAGCGTGTTACAGAAGTGCACCAGTTAATGTTACCATTACTTCTCTAAAGTAGTGTACATAAAAAATGCATCGAAAATAGACAAAATAAAAGTTGATAAACATGCATCAGATTGGAGAGGAAAAGTCAATGAAGGTTGGTTAGAATGTTTAGGACTTTGAAGATGATAAAGAATGTATATATCTACGCCGCTGTCATCGATTTTAATCTATACCTCTTAGAGTTTCCGAATTCTGCTTCCAATCATATCTGGGAACACAATTACTCTGAAATGAATAGCCAAAGACTTCATAGACTAGTACCACGTGCTGATACAACCATTCTTAGCCCTCTTCCTACCTAATCCCACTGTTAAGGGTCAGTATACACAGCACACTTTCAATCCTTTTTAGTCACTGAAGATTCACAGTCTTATCGAATGACTAACTTTCATTGCTTAGCACTCTCCACTTAACCGTCACATCACTCATAAAAATCTCAACACACGTGAGCAATATTACATAAACATCTATGCTGAGAAACTTATAACTCTCTGATATCTCAGTCTTACACAGCATTCATTGTAGATAGATGAACTTGACATCCATGCAAAGATAAATGATCAACCTGAAGACAATATGTAAACGGCATGGATTCTAAGGAGATAATCAACAATAAATGCAGGGAACAAAGTTTAAAAAGGCAAATCCAGCAGCAGTCAACCACTAAACAAGAATGGCAAAGAACGAAATATAAATCCTGTCTATCTGAGAAGAACTCAAATCACTTTCTTATAAGGCAGCATTAAATATGACACCTATATTGACCACAAAAGTTCTGTCCTGAAGAACTCAAGCTGAAATAACTACAAAACTATCAAATTATCTATTCAATATAAAAATTGTTTGAATTCCAAAAAAATTTCTTCACGTTTGACAGAAATGTTTTCTCAGCTGTTTACTATAACATACTACTTAAAAAACTGCAAGCAGAAGATAATTTTTTTTTAAATATGGGGGTTTGTGAGGATTTAATGATTTCAAGTTGGTCCTCATCATACACTTATATCAGTTGGAAAAACATTGGAAACCTGGGAGCACTGAAAAGCTGTTTCGTTCTAGTATGGGACCCCTGAGCAGTGCGCACCTATAAGGTGATTTCTGAAGTTTCAACGAGAAGTCGTGACCCTAGGGGGACAGGCCTGGTGGAAATGAGGACAAATACTCAACGATGACACTGGATAACGGTTGCACTATGTCCCGAACTAACAGAAGTTGGAGATACGGAACATTAGGTCCCAACCCAGTGGTTCAGTGGTAATGTGCTGGCTACGCTGAAGGCCCTGGATTCGATCCCTGTCTGGATGAGGTCATGGGTGCTCGCTGCTGAGCAGTACTATAGTAGGATGAAACATCTGTCCAGTGCTCCCAGCCTTCTAATGTTCCCCCAAATGATATCAGTCCATGACGAATACCTAACTTGAAACTTTTATTTCTTCTCAAGGACACTAGCAAAATCATAAAATATTCACCCCATTTCTGAAGACTACCGGAAGAAAAAACACTAATCCCACTTGAACATAAAACATACTATGATTAGGCTTGCTAATGTGATGATGAAATATGTTTGGTCAAATTGGCTTCACAATAAAGCACAAAAATGTCGAAAAATTGTCTCGGAATAATAAAAAGCGTTCAGTTCAGTATTCAGCTCAGTTGGAAAATCAATTAGACAATGACTTCCTTCACTCCTCAACACATACACACATACTGGGGATTATAACCCTATTGACAAGAGTTTAATGGGTTTGCCCTTTCTTTCAAATTATATCCCTAATAACATGAATAAGTGAAAGCCTTGACTGAATCGCCTAGTAGACAATGATTCCTGTGTCAAGGTGCAATGAGGCACATTAGTTTCAAATTTCGAAATCTATAGAGTGTTTCGATTGTTACAGGATTAGTATATCAGCCAATATTTCTCACCAACTGTTACATCTAGTCTACGGATACTGGAATGTCATACAAGTGTGGGACATGGTAGTTAAAAGTGGAAGACATGAAGCGGTGACACGTTTTTATTCCCAGATGTCGTCGTAGCATTGCTTTCTTTCCGTAGGATCAGACTGTGAACAATTTTGAGGTCAGACGAGGAGTATAAGCCAAGGTAGGTGGGGTGATTGATGAGGTTGTGAATCTTAGTCGACTGAGATAGCTTGGGCACGAACTGCGCATGCCATACCACCTCCTTCCTCGACGTACCATCCTAGAAGAAGTTAGATTAGGCTGAAAAAGTTCAGGGTAGCCAGATCAAGACGTGGCACTAGTCAGTGAAGTCTCTTACTGTTAGCTCGAGCTGTGTGAGGAGATTTAAACTGTCTTGCTGGGGTCCTGGAGACGAAAGGAAGCAGTGGTTGATGACTCTTGGTGACACGGCTGAAAATCGGTCACAACAGCCCAGATGTTTTCGCCTTTTCACGTCTTCTAAAGTTTGAATATTTACATTAACTATTAACTTCAGATTGTTCATTCTCTTATACAACTTGGTCTATTTTAATATTACTCCATTTCCATCCACTTGTTCTTTGTATACTACTGTGAAGTGTAACAACTTGAAGTAATGCACTTGTGTTTGCAAGTTTTTGCATTGGTTTTGTCTATTTGTAAAGTATTCAGAAGATTCGATAAATAAGCTGAAAAGCTAAGAGTGAAGATAGCCAACAAAATAACAATGATAATCAGGGTATTGGTGATCGTGAAGCTCTACAGGTGGAAACTAACAACTTGGCGGTAGAGAGGAAACAGCGAAGGAAGACAGAATTCCCTTCACGCGAACGTGGAGAACGCACAAATGATGAAGATATCAACCACCACCACCAACAACAACAACAAGCTGCAATCACTATGAACGGAAG